TTTAAGTAGCAGTTACAAAGCGCCTGCGTCTAATTACATTTTAATATATAATTATCTTACTCGCTTCTCGAATTTTAAGACCAAAACACATTTTAATTAGCTCGTTTTGTATCACACGTATCATAATTTGATGCACGAATATGGTATAATAATAATGTATATTTTATTATTGTATTACTTTTATATCATTTTATCGTCTAGTATTTCTATTTCTATTTCCAAATAGATACTTTGTTATGATTTCTTATGTTTACTTTAACATTACACATTTAAATAAAACTATTTTGTCGTGTATTTCTTATTTTTTATTGCTGACGTTTAGAGTTCTACACTCTAGGAAGTCTGCATTCTGTGTACTCGTATATGATCGCCACCGTCAATACATGATATTTGATAGATCAGAAATCTTCGCCAAAGAACACAGATTCCTTTTAAGATGATTCGCGAGCCTATTGAAAAACCACATTCTGATTGCAATAGAGAAGCTAGCTGGGTCCTGGATCCTATAATTAATAAAATTAAGTCAGAACCCAGGCATATAACTGCATGGCTACAGGATACTATAAACTTTTCTGTATGGATTGGACCAAAAATTAATAATTTTAATACGAAGGTAGGCGTGGTTTACAATAATATTGGGACGTCGAGCCTCTCCGTCTCCTCGTGACCATGCGAAATGTAAAGTGATCCAAACTTCGGGAATATAAAGTAGGTTACGAGACGCGGTAAAATGTGTGAAAACTAGTTTTATTTAAATGGATACTTTGTATTTGTATGTGGTTATCACGACCATTGAACGTTATTCGACGATCATTTTGTTTCAAATGACCTTTTATTTGCCTTTGGTCAACTTTGGCCCCTCAATACATTTATAAAATTTTTGTATATTGTACATATAAAAGTAAAAAGTGTTTTAAAAAAATAAGTAATATTCATTCTGTAAATACTCGTAACAGACACAAGCTAGTACTACTAGTTACTCGACTGCAACGAGCAAGTAATTCATTCTTGGGGCGATGTATACGCTTTTACTACAAAATCCCAGAAAATATACAAAATTTGACCTCCTCGAAATTCACAAAATTTATTTGACAATGATTGAATAAAGGGGTGTTTATAATATTAAGGTATGTACGGATGATAACAACCTCTGTTGATAGGATGATCGCTAACAAGCTATTTCTAATTTGTTTTGTGTTGTTAATTGTAACACTGAAGATTGTTAGCTGTTATTTTTTTTAAAGTGCTGGCCTTTGCTTGTTGTTTTCCGAACCAGTGGAAAATCAAACAAAAGAGTGAATTTCAATAAGCATTATTTATAATCTTTATTGAAGAAAAAAGTATCTGTTTCTGTTTAAAATATTATTAACAAAATGTCGGAACTTTCAATTTTTTCAAGTGGGTAAATGTTTACTAAAAATAGCCGTATCGAATTATACTACTTATAAATATACATATATACTTTTCTTTCCCATTATGCCTTATTTATCAGCCTACGTCATATCTAATATGTTAACAATGAATTTTTTCCAGTCCGCAACTCCAACCCTTAGGTCACGCAATGGAACTTACAATACATTTCTGCACGTTACCCTGTTGAGTGACATGCACGCTATTTATACAATATGCTATTTATTTTAGATTGACCCAATGTTATTAATTAAAAGCAACAATGTAATTACCATTTTCGGCATGAATTGCCAAGCCGTCACTACATCTATAAGGGACCGACCTTACCGCTACAAATTTGCCGCAGGAGAATTTTCCTTTTTTTCTATTATGTTTACCAAAAATTACTAACAGTAAAACACTTTTTTAAAGGGTGATAATCGAGCACATATTCTACCTGATGGTAAGTGTATGCTGTGGCCGATAAACATCTACATTTATCTGCAATTAAGAATCAAAATGCAGATGCGTTATCACTCCAGGTGAAATGCCTCTTTTCCAGACAAAATGGTCTCCCATTTTCTAAACTCACCGTACAAAGCACAGCAGCAGTAAGCTGCTATTTTACGCTATTATTCTGTGAGAGCGCGGTCCCTCGCTGGTCGAACCGAGCCATACGTGCTACAACCATAATATAGCTGCCGCGTGGCTCTACCACGCATAAAGTACATCATATTAACCAAACTATTCTCGAATCAACTTAATTACACACACATAATTTTATCAAAATCGGACAGACGAATTATATAATATGTAACCAAAACCCTGTCGTTGCCGTTGAGTGCGTTATCAGAACCAGCATTCAAGCGTAAAAGAATAACTTTGTTTTTCAGAAAACTCGACCATAATTTTTTAAAATTAAATTGAAAAAAAAAAAACGATTTTAAAACTGTATGAACTTATTACCTCTAACTTACTCCATAAGTAAAGCAAGGTCTTGAAATTACTCTTACTCCCTGGCCAATGCAAAGGTAATAAAAATAAAATGTAAATAAAATTATGGTCGAGTTTTCTGAAGTAAAGTTATTTCTATACGTTTGAAAACTGACTCTGAGAACGCACTTAACGGGAACCACAGGCTGTTTGTCTTTTTGTTACATGTTGCTTGGTAAACTATTTATTAATCTGTGATGTTGCATAGATTTAAAGATTATATTAACCATACCATACGGTTTTTGCTATTTTCATTGATTTCAAAAAGATATTTTACAAATATTTTACAAAATTTGTATCCTAAGTAACTTTTTTAATTTTCGAACTATGAAAACTCGAATGATAGTATTACTTGAAAATAATCACTACATATCATTAACTTTATAGTCCCTTAGAAGAAAATAATCTAATTAAATGAAACTAATTTTACGGATTTTATCACGTTTAATTTAAATTTTTAATTTTCGACGTTTCTGTCAGAATAGTTAGCATGGCTACCTCCTTTCTTAGCTTTTGAATAATAACTTTAAATTTAAATTAAACGCGATAAAATCCGTAAAATTAATTTTATTTAATGTGTATTATTCGCGTAAAAATAAGAAATCACAACAGACCTATTTTAAATTTCCATTTCAGTCACTTCTACACAGAAATGATTCTGAAAGTTAAATGGACGTTCTCTTATTTCATGAATTCGAAACTTTCACCAGTTGTAATGATTGGCTGCTTTGACGTGATAAGTGCTTTTGTAATTACGAGTTACTAAATAGCACTGTTATATAAGTAGCACAGGTGACAAAATGAATGAATAATTCATTCATTAACTAATAATAATAATTGTAAAACAGAGATTACAAGTTAGGTATGATACTTATTTAAATACTGATTAAACTTACACATTTTATTAGAAAGAAAGAAAATACCTCTTTATTTATACGTGGTAGAGCCATGCTGCAGGTATATTATAGTTGTGGCACGAGGATAACCACGTTCTCATAGAATACCAGTGTAAAATAGCAGCTTAAAACGCTTCTGGGTTTCGTACGGTAAGTGCAGAGAACGGGAGACCCTTTTTATTGAAAATGAGGTATTCCATCTTAGTTCTCTGGGTTGACAACGCATCTGCATTTTGATTCTTTATAGAGGATATAGGTAAACGTCTACGGGGCCACAGAATGCACTTAAGGTTCCAGGTGTACTGAGTGCTCGTTTGTAAATTATATTCTGTAAATATTGATTATTGCACTACATGAATATATTGAATTACAATATCATTAATGCAGCAACACATAGGCATCTGACTCAGTATTGTGCCGCAGTGTTATGACCACAGCGCTGTAATTGCCGTTGCCCTTTTCATGAATTCACGAGCCGTAGTAGTATTTATTACCTGTTTCATCTTTATCATTATCATCATTACTGACCTTCACAAGTCCACTGCTGAATATAGGCCTCCCCCAAGGAATGCCACAAAGCACGGTCCTGAGTCACCTGCATCCATCGAATTCCTGCATGTGTTAACAGGTCGTCACTCCATCTAGGGGGGGGGGGGAGTCACTCTACACTACGCCTACCGATACGAGGCTGCCACTCGAGAACCTTTTTTCCCCATCGGTTGTCGGTTCTTCGAGCTATATGGTCGGTAATCCGTTGGGCTATGTCGGTCGATCTGGTTCTACTGCGGACATCCTCATTTCTAAGTTTATCACGTAGAGAAACCCCGAGCATAGCCCTCTCTATAGCTCGCTGAGCGACCTTGAGCGTCCTGATTACCACGAGGTCATACTTCTAGACTTCTCTTCTGCTCAAGGGGTCCATCTAGGTGGTTACTAAACTTTCACCTATATCTGCCGTCAAGTGGCAGTGTAGCACTGCTTTGTTTCGGTGTGAAGGGCATAGAGAGCCAGTTGTATAGACTGTGTGGCATTCCATCTTAAGCCTCAGAGGTGACGCACCTGTAGCCTTTGTTCTTTGTTTGAATTCGGCTGCGCGTGTCAACGAACTTCAGTAGCTACTTTCAATCAGGTGGACTATAAAATGACTTATGAAAAAAAAAACAAAAGAAACACGGAACAATGTAACTATTCTTTGAGTTCTGGATGTAAAATAAGATTTAAAGTATCTTGGAATTGAAACATACCTAATTAAAATATCCTATACCTTTATATCTAAAAGGTAATTTACTTTAAAATTCGCTTTTCCTATCTTGAATCGAAGCCGCTTAGTTCAAAGACTTCATTAATTTATTTTGCAAATTAATTTTGCACGGTTTGGTGTGTAGTATATTAGCAAAACTTTTAAGTGATCTGACTTCGTGTAACATTATATTATTCTCGTGTAGAATAATAAATTTCCAATTTTTTTACGTGGTAGAGCCACGCTGTAGCTATATGTAGCTTATAGTTGTAGCACGAATGGGTCGGCTTGACCGGGGAAGGACAACGCTCTCACAGAATAACAGCTTAATGCTGCTGTGTTTCGTATGGTGAGTATAAAGAACCGGGGATCCGTTTTGCTACAACGATAATATAGCTGCAGTGTGGCTCTACCACATTAATGGGTTATTTTCAGCAATTGTATTAGCTAATGGCATAGAACTTATTGTATTCTTTCCATAGGTTCCTATTCAACTCCGGCTACTTAAGCCCAGAGTCGGACTACTTTAACTGCGTTGTCAACATCCCGGAGGATATACGCCGAGTCGACGAACCTTCGGAAGCAGGTGAGCAGATGTCGGTGCTTGGGGGAGTACCGGGCAGGCTGTATGGTGCTGCGTCGACTCTTGTGGGGCCAGACGAGAAATCAGGCCGAATTAATCCAGCTCTGGAACCAGACGACGATTTGGATGATCCTAACGATGGACCTACTCCGCTCTTTGGGAACAGCAACGCTCCTCCACCAGTCCAACCGTTTGGCAAACAAACTGCTTTCTGAGACGATCCTTACTTCTACTAAGTAACATAAATAGACTATAATATGAATATACCGTTCTGTGTTTCCGAACGGGTGGTGTATCTGGACTGTAAGTAGTTTGCATGATTAGGAAAAAAAGAAATATTTTTCAATATTTTTTCTATCGACACTTAGCTGCGGTATCAATCCGAAGTGATTTCTATGTACTTGTAGAAACTGCTAACGTCATCCACGTGCTCAAAGTCTTAGGTTTTTATTCATATCTTCCGAAAGCACAAAGTTTTTGTATGCTATTAAAAATAAGGCCATTTTGGTTCTTATATACATATCACTTGATACGTATTACGAAGCCTATAGAATAATTTGATGCAAAAGCAATAGATATTTTAGTGGGTGTGTAATATGTATTTAAGATACTAATTTTGTAGCAAAACGTATAAATTAATGTGATTATTACGAAATGATAAGTGAACTCATACATATCAATATGTGAAATTATAATATAATAGTAGATGAGAAATAATTATTTATAAAATTGTTTATATCAAAGAGGATTCCTTATTTAAGTCAATTAATGTAGTAAATGTGAGCACATTGTACTATATGCAGTGTGCTGTATAGCAAGCGGTTATATGGGAGAGTGTTATTTAGAAAAAATATTCTACAGTATGCGACCAAGTCATCACTTTGGTGAAATTATCTGTTGCAAAATTATATACGTATTCATGACGCTTTTAAAGCATTATTGTCATTAAAAGAAGCCTCGGAAATATTGTACGTTTAGAAATATTTGTTGTTTAGCTCCATTTATTTTGATATACATATATTGTACAAATAATGTTGTACTTCAATTCATTAAAGCTGTGTACAAAAAGTTTAGTTTCTAGATAATTTAGCGCAATTTATCTTTAATACGAGTTAAGATAATTTAGTTTATGTTCTTAGACCTTGTAAATGTGCGCATTATATCATATTAGGGTTAGGGAGATGGCTTGGATATAAAGTCTTCTCCCGATGGTAGTGTCACGCTATCAGTGATTTTTAAGGTCACAGCGGTCAGGCGACTCATCTTGCCGTACCGCAGGGTAACTATGTAGTTCCCATTTCATTCAATGTATTTTATTTTAAATCCTTCTTTTTTAACTGCATACCTAAACAATTTTAAGAAATTATCGAGAATGATAAGCGTGAAGTGATGGCCTTGTTCACAGTCAAAGAAACGACACAAAATAATCGAGCTGTAACTTAAAAAAATTAGAAAACATTATGTGATGGCCTATTTCTCGCTGGATAAATGCAGGGCAATATTATCGACGTAAGGATGGCATCATACTATAAACCATTATAAATCGCTGATAGTGTTAAATTGTCTTTATTTTATGTAGTTTAAATGTCTATTGATAATCAAAGGATTTGTTAAACAATCAATTATTTTATTTGAGTTTCGGTTTCCCCTCGACCAATGTGTCCCGAAACTGTCTCGATCGATGTTAATATTCCATGGTGTGTTTTAAGCTTTTATCGTTGAGAGTGTTTATAAAGTATTTGAAATTATATCTCTTTATATTAAGCTAGTGTTGGATGATGTAATCAAGCTTTCGAATTATTTTTATGAAAGATTTATATCGCTATTAACAAATAGGAATATAGATGATTATATAATAAATATGTTAGTCATTAAAATACCTTGCAAATTATTATCTATGAATCTTTGTGATACTGCATCACCTGCCTATATAACTTCGCTAAGACTACCACGATACATATCATGTCTATGTGACTTATATACATATATAAATGTGTAACTTAATGCGTATAGTAATTTAGTGTGGAACGAATACATATCAAATATTTTAAGTGTAGATTTAGACATCGTTGTTGTTCTTAGACGTCGCTTCCTAATGTACGTGTTGTAAATAAATGTACACAAATTGAACATTAGATATTTTTATATAATAATTTTAATAAGTATATTGTTAATGTACTGTAATGAAATTTTGTTTGTTTACATTTTTCAACCGAGTTCAATAAGGAGGCAGCACTCAATTCGACTGTATGTTTTTTATATGTGTTACCTCAGTAAATTGTTCTAGGCAAACCAATTTTGATAATTATTTTTTTTTATTTTAAAGTTTCATATAAATTGATTGATGATCAAGATCTGAACAGTAGTTTTTGAGTTATCCTTAATAATACGTATTTACTTGACTTCGACTACATTGATGATGTTATCATTTTATTTATATTAAAGTCGGTTGTACAAAATTTTTAATTTTACCACTTGTATAGAACAAGTGGTGAAATTTAAAATTTTGTACAATAACTAGACAATTATTAGAAAATATGATTTATAAGCTATAATATGAATATCACTTCTGTGATAATTTTACATGGATATTTTATTTTTTCATTCGTAGGCAGCATAAAGTAGACTTCCGATTATTAATAAAAATCAATTAATTATATTAAAGATGTTAAAAAGTTAATAAGCTAAGATCCGCATAGTAAAATAAAGTCTACTTTACTTGAGGATGCCTCGTGTAGAGTCGAAACACGTCGTATTATTGACGGTGGTGTGTCTTTCTTAAAGTAGTTATGTTGTGAGTAATGGTGCTGAGATTAGTGTTGACGGAGATAGTGCACGCAATTGGATAAGGCGGGAGGTGCTCTTCACACTACCATTTTATTTTATTACACGGAGCTTAGTTAAGTTATTTTCTTTAAGACATCTGATTTATTTTTAAAATTACAAAGCAAATATAACACTGTAATGTAAGGGTATATTATATTATATACAATATAGAGACACACAATAAGAAAATTGTTACTTATGCTTTTCTATTTCCTGCAATAGTTTTATCACATTTGACTTTAATTGATCCCACGTGATTAGGAAGCGACCTGTCCACTGTTAGCTAGTAGTTATACTTATTATTGACTTATACCTAGTCCTTGTTGATATTTGGAAACGTGAAAAACTGTGTAATGTTGTGAATTCTGCAGATACTTCTGCAACGTAAATAAAACTTATAGTATGTTGAACACATTTATTTTCCTCCATAATGCCCCTTAATCTAAATCTATATTTATATATATTATATGCGTGAATGGTTTTAAACATTTGTGTATGTTTGTTGCTCAATCACTAAACAAATTTAGTTAAACAGATAGACCATAACTTAGGTTAACACATGAGATATCAAGGAAAATTTTTGATTGAAAGAAAATGCTGCGATCAGAATTAAAAAGCGAATGCTTCGATGATTTGGACACGTTAGAAAGACTGAATAAGGAAAGTGTGACAAAGCTGCAGAAGTGAGTGGCAAAGACGGCAAGGTTCGTACTGGACGAAAGTTTATCGACCAAATTGGAGAATGAATGGAAATACTAAAGAGAGTCAAAATTAATAGTTCGTTTAACCTACGACATGTATGCATAAATATATGAATGTGATAGAAACGAGGGAAGTGTGTCAGGATTGTGCCAAATAGAAATCTGTAATCTCTGCCTACCTCTCTAAGTAACATGCTTGAAAGTTTATGCATGCATTTGTTCGTTCGTTTATGTATGTATATCATGGAGGTTCAAAGATATGGCGATAAAATAAACATGAAGCTGTTACTGTTGGAACTGGTCCAGGCTGAGAGCGGTAATTCTGTTAATAATAAACTTATCCTAGAAATTATTTAATAAAAATAATTAAAATTAGTTTTTAACAAACGTTAAAATCAGATTTTTGATCGGAAACGCATATGGAATTTTGGGCTTGTAAATACAGGGCCAACATGGCCCTGGTTCCCAGGTTCAATTATTTTTCTCCACCAAACATAAGGTAAATTAGCATTGAAGAGCCTTATAATTTATTAAAACCATGAGACCTTGGAAGCTGAGTTCATCATTACAGGTACGTTCGTTACATTAGAAAAATAGATAAAAAATCGTTCAAGTTACAGCTGTCCTTTTTACCTATTATAAGCCAGCGATTGACTATAATCCCACCTGGTTGTAAGCGGTGATGAAACCCAGGATGATTAATCGTAATGTCTCGGCCTAACGAACTAGAGAACAAGGAATGTTACAGGCTGTGAGGCATTTTATCTCAGTCCTCACTGGTTGCAGGTATCCATGCTAATTGCGAGTTAGATGGGCTATAATGTCGTTTGGTAACTCACCTTTATAAGAAAAGTATTTACATTTACCGTGTAGTGGCGATCTAAGAATATGGACTACCACAAATCATCCCGAGGAGGTCGAGATGGACAGCAGCGTTTTCCTAATTACTGGGGATGTTACGGAAGTGGTTATATCAGAACCGAATCGCAAAGCTGAGTTTTTAAATTTGGTTTATCGTAAGTGGAACCGGAATCGGAGGTGTAGGCAGAAGAGAAAGTTATGTGTTAAGGGCACGTCTAATAAAATAAAATTACACACATTATTCATCACAAATATATTCGGCAAAAAATTGTCTTCACCTTAACTGATAATTTGGCACTTTGAACTGCGTAAGCTGTCTGAATTGAATACCTTCCACAAAATTGAAGGGAAGAAGCCACCGCCGCCACGCATCGACATTATAATTCGATATAACTTCCGATTAAAACTTATTGGAACCGAAATCGGAATCGTTTATACGTGGTAGAGCCATGCTGCAGTTATATTAGTAGTATAGTTGTAGCACAAATGGGTAGGCTCGACCGGGGAAGGACCACGCTCTCACAGAATACCAGCGTGAAATAATAGCTTAATGCTGCTGTATTTCGTATGGATGAGTGTAGAGAACCGGAGACCCTTTTTACTGGAAACGAGGCATTCCATCTTAGTCCTCACGGGTGACAACGCATCTGCATTTTGATTCGTAATCGAGGATAGATGTAGATGCCTATGGGCCACAGCAACCACTTACCATCAGGTGGACTGTGTGCTCGTTTGTCACCCTATCCTATAAAAAAAATCGAAAGTGCAAAATCAATCGGAAGTTCCAAACTTTCAGAATCGGAGTCAAAACTATGTTAGCGGTTGCCAACTGTGGCAAATTTCCCCTATATGACAATATATGGGGGGCGTATGTTCAGCAGTGGACTTAGCAGGCTGTAACGATAAACAATAAAGATTTCCCAAAATGATTTTTATACAACAATTCTAATTTTCTGATAAGAAATTCTATAAATTTCTAATCTTCTTCACCTTTAATTTTGAATCATATTACAATTAACTATACAAAAAAAAAATAGAAATAGCTTAGTAGCCACCTCATTTCCAGGGGTCATTATCATCCATAACAAAAAAGGAAGTAAGACAGAAAGCTGCGTTCATTTCAACTGACGCGCCAACTAAGCTCAATTTACTGAAGAAACACTCACTCATACACACATATACATGTGAAAGTGTAATATGTGTTGATAAATATTGTACCTTTTTTAGTAAGCAGCTTACGTTATTTGTACTTACTTATAAACGTTCTGTCTACATTTTTAAATCGATGACGTTAGGTTCTCTTTCCTTTAACTGGCCCTAAAAATCGACTGACAGACATGGAGATCTCCAGTTGTAGGGAGAGTTAACTTTAGTAAAGATTATGAGTGAGATTAGGGAGGTTTAAATTAAAATCTAATTATTTACAAATTTTTATTTTATAAGATTGTTTGTTCGTACTTAAACTAGATTTTGTACAATTATTTGTTAAAATTAAATTATTATTAATAATATCTTTCATTTAACTACAATGTAACATTCATAGCTGGCGGAATAGCACTTCGTGTCTTTATTTAGAGAGACTAACAACTTTATATAACAAAATTATTGCCAATTGAAAATTAAGATTCTCATTTTATTATCCTTATATAATAAGAAAAAGTGGAGGTTAACTTTCATAGACAATGAACATGCATCTATAGGTAACTAGTTATCCTCACTGATTCTGTAAGTAATTATTTATTGTAACAGGTTTTTTACTAAGTATAAAAAATATAAAACATGTTACAGAAATATTGTTCAAAGTCATGGTAAATTTTTGTAGATTGTAATTTGTCTAAACGTTAATTTTAAGTTGGTGGTTGGTTTTTAAGTGTATTTTTTTAAAATAGAATAAGATGACAAACGAGCACACAGTCCACCTTATGGTAAGTGAACGCTGTGGCACATAGACATCTACATTTATCCTCTATTTACCCCTGAGGACTAAGATGGAGTGCCTCTTTTCCATCGAAAATTTTATTTTGTTATAATTATTATGGAGTTAATCATTTTCATCATTAGAGCCCTTCACAAGTCCACTGTTGAAAAGAGGGCCTCCCTCAAGAAAATACAAGGCACGGTCTTGAGCCACCTACATCCACCGACTTCTGCATAATATCTCCAGCATCTGCATAATATCTATTACCAGGTGACTCCATTTAGTGTTTGTCTTTTTTCTATTATTACTTTTAATATTTTAGGCTGTATGTTTTAATGGGAATAAACATGATCTTTCTTTCTTTATTTCTCATATTTACCATTATTATTCATATTATGTCTTTAATATCAAAAGTGTGGCGGACATGGACGTACTATGTTCGTCCATGGTGACGGATCATTTGATTAAAAAAATCATAATGGGTTACTAAAGCAAACTGTACTTAATATACGTAGCCACCGTTTGAGTCATAACTTTGACTGATAGTGGCTGGAATCCCACTGGAGTAGCCGCCCCCTGAGCCGTGACCGCCCGATGAGTAACCTCCAGAACCTCCAGAGGAGTAGCCTCCAGAACCTCCAGATGTGTAACCTCCAGTACCGCCGGACGAGTATCCACCAGAGCCGTGCCCACCAGAGGAGTAGCCTCCTGAAGAGTAACCACCAGAACTATGCCCACCAGAGGAGTAGCCACTAGAACCGTGACCGCCGGAAGAGTAGCCACCTGATCCGTGGCCACCGGAAGAGTAACCACCTGATCCGTGGCCACCGGAAGAGTAACCACCTGATCCGTGGCCACCAGAAGAGTAGCCACCTGATCCGTGGCCACCAGAAGAGTAGCCACCTGATCCATGGCCACCAGAAGAGTAACCACCTGAACCGTGACCGCCGGAGGAGTAACCACCTGATCCATGGCCACCAGAAGAGTAACCACCTGAACCGTGACCGCCAGAAGAGTAACCACCTGATCCGTGGCCACCAGAAGAGTAGCCACCTGAACTGTGACCGCTGGAAGAGTATCCACCTGATCCATGGCCCCCAGAAGAATAACCACCAGAACCATGGCTGCCCGTAGAGTATCCTCCGGAACCACCAGAAGAATAACCAGAACTACCATGACTAGAGCTAGGTACACCGTAGCTGCTAGATGGGGTTCCATATGATATGGATGGTGCACCGTAACTAGACGAAGGAGCTCCGTAACTGGAAGATGGTCCACTGCTTCCGAAGCTGCTACCACCAAAGCCGCTGCTTCCAAATCCGCTGCCACTGATACTAAAGCCACCAGATGAAGGAGAACCATAAGATGAGGATGGGGCTCCATAACTTGAAGATGGGGCTCCATAACTTGAAGATGGGGCTCCATAACTTGAAGATGGCGCTCCGTAACTTGAAGATGGGGCACCATAACTTGAAGAAGGGGCACCATAACTTGAAGATGGGGCTCCATAACTTGAAGATGGGGCACCATAACTTGAAGAAGGGGCACCATAACTTGTAGATGGGGCTCCATAGCTTGAAGATGGGGCTCCATAACTTGATGACGGTGCCGGGGCACCGTATGAGCTTGAAGGTTTAGGTGCTCCATAAGATTTCGAAGGCCCAGTTGGCACACCGTAACTGGTCGCAGGAGGCTTTGCAGGGGCACCGTAGCTTGAAGATGGAGCACCGTAGCTTGATGAGGGAGTACCATATGAGCTGGATGGTGCCCCATAACTAGAAGATGGCCTGGGAGCTCCGTAGCTGGATGAAAGTTTTGGTGCGCCATAGCTGCTTGAGGGTCTAGGGGCTCCGTAGGATGACGAAGGACTGCCGCCGCCGCTCGAAGGTGGTAAGTAGGAGGAGCTTAGGGGTGCTGCAAACAAAGGTAAAATAAGGTCATTTAATTTTGCTACAAAAAAACTTGAAGCGACCTCTAGTGGATTTGAAAAAATAACAAAGATAAACAAGGATATTGAATAAAACTATTTTTTTTAAATAAATAAATTTGCTATTTAATTTTGCCCTAGTTGCCACGCTGGGCACGCAGGTGGGTGGCCAACCGCAGTTTTTATTACTTAGAGTTGTTATCAGGAAGATACTGCTGCCTGTCTCCTATTTCAATTTCTCTTTGTCGCATCTTCCGACACCCAAGGGATGATATGGAGTAGTGGATATTCTTAGACCGCCACTACACGGTATTATTAATATCAGGTCTATCTTAATCTTCATCAGTCCGTAGAAGCCTACAGTTGGGCATAAACGTATACCGTCATCATGATGTCGTCAGCAAACCTAACAACCCATTCTTAACACCTTAACACTTCAGCTTGCTGATCCGTTGGTGCTTGATCGGTTACTCTTGTTCTTATGCGGATACCCTCATTTCTAAGTCTATCACACATGAAAACTCTGAGCATAGACCGACCATATGGCTTGATGCCAAGCGTGACGTTTTTTAATAATATAGCCATGCTGCATTTACTATTATGTGGACAGTGCGGTCGTTTGTCACCATTATTCTATAAAAAAAAATTGCATGTTGTTCCTGTTCTGGGATAGGTTCATGTCCAGCAGTGGCCTTTCAAGGGTTGATGATGAAAAAAGCAGTGAGAATAAACAGTTAAAAGCATCGTAAGCCTACTAGACAGGGCTCAGTTACGCCCAATATATTATAATGCTTACCATCACGCTTGTAGTGCTTCCTTGGAGGAGTGGCAGCTACAGCGACTACGAGTAGACCGGCTAGTAACTGTAAAGAGAGAAAGGTTTTGTTACATTTGGTTCCACAAGTAATGGTTAAATCAGGTTGGTGACTCGTTTCATCGTTTTGCTCTCATTTTCGAGCACGTTTTGGTCTCACTGAATACCAGCGTAAAATACTAGCCTAATGCTGCTGCTTTTCTTGTGGTGAGTTTATAGATCCGGAGACCCTTTTTACTGGAAACGAGGCATTCTATCTTAGTCCTCACGGATGACCACGAATCTGCATTTTGATTCGTAATCGAGGATAGATGCAGATGTCTATGGGCCACAGCAACCACTTACCATCAGGTGGACTGTGTGCTCGTTTGTCACCCTATCCTATAAAAAAACGCTGGTAACTGATAGGTTCAGAATACTTTCAGGAATTGTCGATTTATCCTTATCGTTGTCCCTTCTCACAGTCCAAAGTCCGCAGCTGAACATTGATGGTAACTGAGTACTGATGGTTGATAGATTTTTATTTCAGTAGAGTCACGCTGCAGCTATATTATGATTGTAGCGTGAAGGGGTCAGTTTAACCGGGGTAGGACTACACTTTCATAGAATACTAGTGTGAAACAGCAGGAAAATGCTGCTGTGTTTCGTATGGTGAATGTAAACAACCGGAGACCCTTTTTGCTGGAAACGAGGCATTCCATCTTAGTCCTCACGGGTGACAACGTATTTGCATTTTGATCTTAGTCGAGGATAAATGTAGATGTCTATGGGCCACGCATCCACTTACCTTCAATTGTGTGCTCGTTTGTCACATTTACTCTATAAAACCATTGAAATACGTTAGATAGTCATTAATTTAAAATATTATATAAAATTGCTATTGTAGTAAATAAAATGAGTTTAATTTTACTTTTTATGGAAAAAATCCGTTTTTTCCTTTTCTTCTTTCAATTTTCTTTATTTGCAACAATAATAAGTATAAAACTACAGTGATTATATACTCCTACATATGACACCTACCTATATATGGCATTGACGAGATTGAGATGAAGAAGTTTTCTTTTACACTGTCATAAAGTTTTTTTAAATATAATAAGGGTGACAAACGAGCACACAGTCCACCTGGTGGTAAGTGGATGCTGTAGCCCATAGACATCTACATTTACCTTCGATGAAGGATCAAAACGCAGGTGCATTGTCACCCCTGAGGACTAAGATGGAATGCCTCGTAACCAGTAAAAAAAGGGTCTCTTCACTAACCATACGAAACACTATTAAGCTGCTATTTTACGCTGGTATTTTGTGAGAGCGTGGTCCTTTCATGGTCGAGCCGACCCATTCGTGCTACAAGTATAATATATCTGCAACGTGGCTCTACCACGTATAAAAAACAAGGCTTGTACATTACTTAAATGAAGGTTAAAAACTATTTTATCGCAACATATTAAAAAAATATTTTATGAGACATTTTTATTCTATGAGAACAGGAAAAGCCACCTCAAAATTAGGCCTCTTTATAATAAATATATTTGCTTTTCTGAACAAACTTTTCCATGAACACGTGAAACAAATTCCATGAAAAATTATTTTTGCGTAAGTGCTTTACGACATCAGATCTTCCCACGAGACAAGGTGAAGTGGCTGCGTACTCTGTAAAATTACGTTCGGATGTGAGCGCGCGGCTTTTGTGGCAATTAGAGCAATCGGAAGATGGTTTTGTTGTTCTTTGTCTTGACAATGACGACCCAAAGATCGCCACATTCACAGTCTCAAATGTCAATGTCAAATCTAATTTTGACATTGACATTTGAGACTGTGACTTTTGTATTACGAGTAAGGTGACAAACGAGCACACAGTTCTCCTGACGGTTAGTATATTTTACGGTCCATATACAACTGCATCTAATCTCGACTAAGAATCAAATTAAAGGTACATTGTCACCTCTGCCCTCAGTCAGAATTATTATGAAATGCTGTGTTACCAATAAAAAAACAAGGGTTTCTGGTTTCCTCCGTCGCCTCTTACGACACCCACGGGACGTATGGTACCCCCTCAGAATTTCTGCATTCTGAAGGTACCCCATATCGTCCCGTGGTGTCGTAAGAGTGGATATTCTTACACCGCCACTACACGGTCTTCGCGCACATCCACAAAAATAAAATAAAAATGGACAGCTACAAAAATTATTTTAGGTAATATTTCCTGTCAGCCTCTTCTTTACCAAATAAATGAGTAATTTCATTGATATTGGAAATGAGCGCAGTCCACCTGATGGTTAGTGGATGTTGTAGTTTACCAACATCTATCCTCTGAGAACTAAGATGCTTGGTTACCAGATAAATGTCTCGAGCTCTTTTCTTTCATGGAATAAGTGTGATAAACGAGCACAAAGTCATCCAGATGGTAAGTGGATGCTGTGGTCCATAGACACAGACCCTTGAGACTTTAAAACCCTTCGTTAAAATAATAAAACACAGCATTATTAAGCTGATATTCTATAAAAGTACTTCTCCGGGCGAACCAACCCATTCGTGCTGCAACCGTAATATATCTGTAGTCATACGAAGTTAAGTAGTTTTTTGATTTACAGAAATAATTAATTGCAATTTTTAAGTACGTATTTACCAAGTGCTTGGCGGAAAAGTAAAACATCAGGTAGCAACTTACGGGTCGTATAAATAAAAGAATATCCGGGTCATGTAAAACACGCATTTGAGCAACATGACAGATTCTCTCCCGCTTCAATATATTCTATTGGATAACACGAATCTTAGAAAATAAATCTTTCTTTTTTTTTCATAAATATTAGATAGTTATAAAAGAGAATGTGTCAAAACAAACGCATGAGATCAACGACATAATATCATTAAAGTAAAAAGTAAAGTTACAGCCTCTATACGACTCACTGCCGGGCACAGGTCTCCTCTCATTTCTGAGAGGGTTTTAACGCAAGAAAATGTCCACCGCACTGCGCCAATGCGTGTTGGCGAACTTGACATGTTTTCGAAATATTTCTTTTTTCTTATTCCTTAGACATGCAGGTTTCCTCACGATGTTTTCCTTCACCGCCGAGCACGTGGTAAATCAGCACATAAAATTGCAAACAAATTAATGGGTGCCGGCGGGGATCGAACCCCGGTTACTCGCGTTCTGTTATATTTACAGCGAGTGTTAACCATCTGAGCTACCACGGCTCTTTAATATGTTCTCTACATCTACAATACATTATCTCTTTCTATGTGTTCGAAAACCATCCAAAAGAAAAAAAAATCTGGCACTTTAATATCATTACCGTTAGCTTTACCGTTAAAACATATTAAAGTCCACTGCTGAACATAGGCTCTCCCCACACTGTCTCATAGGGGGGCGGCGAGGGGGGGAATATTTGTCATAGTTGGCACGCTTGGCAAGCGGCCTGGCAACCGAAGTTTTATTTTTATTTTTAGTCGTTATTAAGAAGACGCTGCTGCCCGTCTCCTGATTTGTTTCCCACTGTCGCTTCTTACGACTCCCGCGGGATGATATGCGGTAGTGAACCTTTGCACCGCCACTACACGGTGTATATCAAACAATAATTTAATTAAATATCTTAATAGTATAATTTCGTAATTTAATATGCTTGGTTTGAGAAACAGTTATTTTAAGGGGCTACTGGTGATATTAATATCGTTCAGTATTGTAATTGTACATTATCAAGTGATGCAGGTGCTTCGTTACAAGTGAACTAATATGGTACTATATACAGTAGAGCGTCGATTATCCGAATTAATTGGGGGATATAGGTGTCCGGAAAACCGGTTTGTTCGGATAATCAAACTGTGTAATTGTATGTACCAATATACTGATAAAAACATATTTATAAGTAATGTAAATTTAATTTATGACAGTTGTAATACAAGCTAGAGCAGTGATACGATTATTTACTTTACACAAGGTGCCGATAATTCACAACGCGAGGCAAGAGTTTTTCTTGGCAAAGTCTTCTAATTGACTCCAGTTTCGTCAGAATTGTAAACGTTTTTAAAACATTTTTTTTGTTTCAATACGTCGCTTATTTGATTTTGAAAGAATCAGAGCTGAAGAACCAGTACACAATTTTTCTCCCTGTATTTGAAGCTCACGAATCTCATGTCTTGACTTAAACCGTTTTAACCAGCCTGTGCTTGCTCGAAAGTTCGACGGTCCTCCAAGTTTTTCATTTAATGTTTTGCCTTTTCACGTAGAACGGCATCAGAGATAGGTTCTCCTTGCGATTTTTTTTTGTGTGAATTACTTGTAAACAGCGTCATCGAGATCGGTGTTCGTGGTAGCTTCATAGTTTTATGACTTGTCAACCCATTAGTAAAATCATGCCTGGATATAAACTTGGATATGGTCGTCTTTTGGTTTTATATCCGTAATTGTCAGCTTAACCACTTTGTACTTCTTAGATAACTTGGTTGCAGATTCGCCTTTCTCTAATCGTTTGTTAATCTCGAATTTACTGAACGTATTACGGAAGTACCAGAAGTACGGAGTATTACGGAACGTAGGCTCACACGGAACACTGCGCAGAGAAGCGAGAAGGTGGTCGCAACCCAATGAGGCGCCGAGGACCGAGGTAGCAGTTCGGTTAAGCGGTCGTTCGGTTAATCGACGTTCGGATAATCGACGTTCTACTGTATTCCAATCTCGGCTCGGGTGACCCTGACTCACTCAATGAAATCAGAACGGGCTCTCTTCATATTTCACTACAGTTAAGGTGGCTTTTAGACAGACATCTTTTAATACAATGTTTTCTCTTGTTATACACGATGTTTTATTCGCTTGACCCATATAAAATTTCTTTGTATAGCTCAATAGTATTTTCGTTGTATAAAATATTATACAATAAATATTTTTTTTAAAGTTCCGCTGGGTTTCTTTCTGATTTTTCCCACGACAGAGGTTTATGCAGTAAACAGTGATGTAGCTTAAATGGCTTTCAATCAGTATTTTTGTAATCTTTATTAAATAAATATGATTCAATTCTATTATATATGTCGTATGTACGAATACAATGACATTCT